TATCATGTCCTACATAGATGGTGTTACCATAATCCGGCATTTTCTAAAGCTGTCAAACTTGAAGACTTGAGCTGGAAAGGTGTTGCACAGAAATGAAATCCAGTTGCATCTGCAAGCCTCCACCTCCGTGGGAGTCCTAATCAGGTTGAGTACAGTTCCTTGCTACACAGAGCAGGCTGCAGTGCAGGAGGTAGGCCATTTAAATGCTTTCTGAACTCCATTAGTTATTCCTGCTGAGAGTGAAAAAGTCCTCATAAATGCATAAAAAATTAAATTGCCTGTGAGGTAAGAAATGAGATGGTACCTTGCTACCAAATATTATTTTCCACTCAAACAGTCGACAATCACACATACAATGCAGAATCATAGAGTACATACCTGCAAGGCATGCAGTGCCAACTAGGAATGCTGTGCTCAAAAGTCTAATGACATCTTATCATCTGGTAACAATCCCCTGACTTGGGCTTCAAGTTTACTTCCCCCCAATCCCCACCCCCACCCCAGATGGCACCCACAATCTCCATTCCAGGCTAGGCGAGGGAGTCAGGCCAGCCCGGTGGGACGTCAGAGATGCCTGGCGTCAGTCAGTGAGATCAGGAGGCTCAGGACCAGTCACAGCACAGAGGTGCAATATGGGGTGGATAGGACTACTGAGCGAGAGATGCATTTTTTTTTTTTCTCCCATGTTCCCTGACCTTGGCAGCAGGTGGGTCTGGAATAGCAATTGTCTATTTTGCCATCACATTCAACTTCTGAAGGCAGGCAAGAGCTAGCTCGAGAGCTGGGGAGACAGTGGATCCTTAGGACACCGTTTTGAGACCCAGTATCCAGTTGTGCCCCTGAATTTTCAGTTAGCCAATAAATCCCATTTTTCTTAGATACAGGTTTTCTTTCACTGGTAATCAAAATAGTCCTAAGTGACCACCAGTTAAAAAGAACTATTTTAATCTGCATCTCAGTCTTGGAAGAGGACTCTCTCTACAGGTAAGGACGGGCACGGAGATGCGGGGAGGCAGCTTGCCAAGGTTCTCTGTTAGTCAGCAGTACAGCCCGGACCAGAAGCCAGGGCTCTTGCTTTCTCAGGTGACGTTCACACCAGACCGTGGGAAAATTCAACATGACAGACTTGTTTAATAAAACTTTTAGTTAAAACTTTGCTCCAATTAAAAGTTTGTTCATTGGTTAATATACTTTTAAAAAGAATTTATAAATTAATTTTTAAGTGATCCTTTGCATTGTTACTTAGAATATGGACAACTTGAAGATACAACGAACTAATTTCTTAGAAATGTGTTTGTGGTCTGCTTTAACAGCAACAGAAATAGCCCAACAAAATTGCTTAAAATGTTTTATTAAGTATATATAATATTACAGGGTAATATTTACAAAGTTATGTTTTTAAATAAAAAAGTATCTTGGCAAAGATTGCAGATATTCAAAGCTTCAAACAGTGATAAATTGATTTAATACATATAAAAAAAACCTTTAACGGTAACACAGCTGTAAAACAACTTTGGTCTTTAAATCACTGCAAAAAATGGCTACTGACAAATAGCACACCTTTAATTGCTATGGAAAAAAGCCCCAAGAGAGGATCTTGCACATAGCAACACTGGAGTTTTCTTTATTTAGAATGGTTAATGGATATTTATATGATGTAGGATCTAAATCTCAACAATGGCTTTTTGTAAATAATGCTCCATTTAATAAAAACAGAAATGTTTCCTCCTCTCACCAACCCTGATAACACTTTTAAGATTCCACTGATGTTGCCTTACAGAGAAACTTATTACAAATGCTCTTTTTTTCAAAAGGCTCAATTTATGGGAAAGCTGTTTTTAAATGATAAGTAAGAGCTGTCAAAAGCCAAAGGCAGGAAAACTTTCTGTTCACTGCTTAGCTCTTAAAAGTTACCTGGATTATCCCTATTAGCCACGGAAAATGACTTAAAAAAGGACCCCAGTGGGTGATGGCAGTTAGTGATTTTGAAAATGTGACACATGTGAAACTAAGGTTTCTAAACAAACTCTCCATTAAATAAAACATAATAAAAAGAGAAAGTGTTGCCCAACAATCCTTTCTCCGGTTTCCAATGGCAGGTAAATGCCATTGGAGTATGTATTTCCATACACATCCCACACATCTGTTTTTGAATACCCCTTTTAGGACAAAAAATATCTAGAAGGTGATACAGAGCTTGATTCTCAATGAGATGGAGGAGTAAATGTATCACTTTTTGAGCTTTATTAACTCAAATCACAATTTGGTTGGTCATTTACTAAATGGACTATAGCATCCTGGCATGAGCAATACTCTCAAATTTTGGGATAGCCCCATTTTTTCATTTTGACATCCTCAGAAATTTAAACAAAATGGACCTGGAGTTTCCAGGTGAAAAGTCATAACCTTTTAAAGTTTTCAGGGCACGTGAAATTTGTCAAAAAAGAAAACGATCTAAATCACCCTACTGAAAATAGTGGGGAATCTGCATACAGCCAACTTTCAATCATCCAACTTATGCACTGAACACCTAATGAATGAAAAACACTGCAGGAAGAGAAAGAGGAAAATGAAAAAGCTCTTGCCGTAACAGAATTTCAAAATTGAGAGAAGCAAGACAAAAAACCTGACAGAACTCAGCAGACACACATGAAGTACTAAGAAAGGTATAGAAGAGATGAAAGAGGCAGCTACAGAGATGGGGGTGAGCTACAGATGAGAGCCAGGAGGGGAGGGAGGGCTGGAAGACAATGTTTTGAAGGAGACGGAAAATTGGATTTGGCCAAAAACATTGGAGGAGTTGTTGCAAAAATGACAAGTGGCACCAGAGGATGTGCACTAAATAAAATCGAGTGTTAGTCAATGGCAAATACTGGGATCATTGAGTAAAAAGCAGGTTGTCAGGGGGGTCGGGGACAGATACATGATGCTCAAAACATTGTTAACAATTCTAATTTGGTGTGACAAAATTTGCGAGCCACTGCAAGTCTGATTTAAAGTGAATGAACTGGCCCAATGATGCCCAAGAGGGCTCCTGCTGAGGTGGTCCCTTTTCCAGAGAAGCTGACAGCTAGTAAGAGCAAGAGTTGATGTCACCTGGCATCTCTCCTGCTTCCTCTGTGTGTTGTCTAGGGCAGTGAGTGCCTCAGAAGACAGGCAGTGTTAAAGAGAACACAAAGGGTGATGGATAGGTCCCAAGACTGAACCCCAAATAAATGAGAGCTTATTGCATATTAAAAGGTACAACTTGAGTTTATAAAAAGTTTGCTATAAAGATTTTCATGCCTTACTTTTTCTTAATAGAGAATAGGTATCTGGATCTTTTTCAAGTTCATCTGCTTTTCTCCTCCTTTCATCAAAATTGATTTCCAAAGTAAACAATATTAGTAAAATATATTTTCAGAGGAAAAAACAGCAAGAGCCATCGTATTTATATAAAGGAATACACTTCCCTCTACATATGATAGTATTTTGGACACAATTAGGAAAGAAAAAAAATTTTTTTTCCCCAAGAAGAGCTGTCTTCATAGTCTGCTCAGTTTTTTGAGAAGCATCAGCAGGTCATAAGGTTTGCCAGAGGCAAACCACTTGGTCCCAACGTGAAATGTTGACAATTAATTTGGCATAAAAGAGGCACATGGGAACATTCAGTGTACTAAGAAATAACTATTAAGTAATGTTAACTACAGATATGAATATCTTACTATTACACAGACAGGAAGAATTACTAGTATTTTTAGAGGGTATTGTGAGCAGTCAAAAAGCTTGGCAAATTACCTAGAAGTTTTTGAAGTTTTAAGTGATCAAATATTCGCATCAAATATAATTCCACCCAATAAAGATCTTTTTTAACGTTGTTACTAAAAGCATGAAATTAACATTTGCTCTCCTGTAGGTATCCCACTGTTGTCCGTACAGAAGATGAATGTGCCTATCTTATACATGTGCACGTGCGCACACACACACCCATGAAGGAAGAAAATGAGTGCTAAGAATCTAAAAGTACTCCAGGCGATCACGACTGTCAGAAATGTTAATTTTCTTCTAATGGGGGTAGGAGATGTGGGGGGTTTTGTTTTGCTTTCCGATCTTAGAGTGTGGGGCTTACAGAGGCAGGACTACATGAGGAAGATGAGTGCTTATCATGCAACACAGATACAATGGTAACAAAACCACCCTGCTGCGGGTGGGCCTGTCGGCCTGACGGTGACACACATTATGTTGCCATGCAGGAGACTCATAGTTCAAATCTCAATCTTGGTTTTTCATGCCCCAGATCAGAGAAGAAGTGAAGAAACACTGTAGATTGTGCCTTCAAATCCGAGGAAGGAAATACATATGTTACAACCATCGCTATTTTTGCTGAAAAGTGTGAACATAGTTCGCTGAGAATAAGTCTGGCTCCTTTCTACAATGATTCTACCGTGTCACTGGACCATGTTCAAAGAGGAGAAAAGGTGCTACATCTTGTACAGCAGAAGCAATTAACAGAAGGACAAGACAGGATTTAAAGGGTTGTGTGAATAAAAGAAAAACACATCCATCAATAAAATTACTCTAAATCTGGAAAGGATTCATTACACTGTATGTCAAAGGAAGAAATGTGTGAATGGCAACCCCCAAGAATGAAGACCATGATCTCCTGCCGGATCACATCACACACAGGCAGCATTCAAGATGTTCCCAAGCAAACTCCTGTCTGTTCTTAAATTTGCTATTCCCTTGACCCAGAAGTGGTACAAACCATATTCGGCTAACACCAGCCATAACTGCCAACGTGGCTGTGAACTCGAGTTTGCTAAGGTTCTACGGAAGCCACTGTTCTTCATAGATCTCTCTGGGAAACCATGAGGGTAGCGCCAGATAATTCTCACCTTGAACCAATTTAAAATGGTGACCTAAAGTCAAGAGACCCTAGGATCTGAAAGGCATCATTCTTGGAAGCTGGCCACTCTACTCTTGCCCCTAATTGAGTAAAAATAACAACAAAAAACTGGATCTCAATTGGGCACACAACACAGATGATAATTCTTTTATTAACTACATTACAAATGCTTTGAATAAAAACTGTAACAATAATCATTTAAGGGTCAATGATTTACTTTTTTCCACAGATGAGAACCAGTTATTTTTCTTGTTCTCTTCTCCTGAACAGTGAACCAAGGCCATGGTGCTCAAACACAATTGTACTCCTTTCATGTCTTAACTACTTTCCAAATCAGAGTCCGTCACTTCACTTCAGTTACTCTGGAAAATTGAAAAATGAACATATAATCACTATTCATGTCTATTTTCTATGCACTAACAAGTTGATGTATTTTAAAAAACTGGAATTGTCATATATATGATATCTAAAAATAAAGAAAAAGTATTTAATCTTAGATTTGCAAAGGTCACAGACATAAACCTGGCAAATCACCAGCCTTTTTAGTTGTAGTAAGTAAAAGGCCAATGCCAAATGAAAATAAAAATCAGCAAAGTCTGGTAATCTCAGTTTGCTAGGTTAGCTCTTAAGAAGCCAAGAGATGTTGATTTTTCAAAGCAGAAGATACTGATCACAGAATAATATTCTACCCCATTCATTTCAGACCTCTACCATTCATTTGATAGAAGTGAAATAAAACGTTGATTTGGGGCAAGAGGAAGAGAAAATGGTACTGTGGTCACTAGAAGGTTAGTCTGAAACTCACTTACTGACCAGGCAGACACACTGTGAGCATCGAGCCCACCAGAAACACAGGGTTTTTTTGTTTTTGTTTTTTTGTTTTTTGTTTTAAAAACCAACAAATCCTAATCAGATAAATATTAGCAAAATTAAGGGAGTTTCAAAGGTTATCATAGATTTTGTGTGCTATGAACACACAAAAACTACTCTATCTACTGATACAGTGGTTCTAAAAAAAGGAAGAGGTACTCGAGGCTCTTGTACTAGTTTTCTGAAAACAGAAAAGGAGTTTCATTTCCTCATTCAGCTTCAGAAGACTGACACCACAGCAGGAAAAAAGCAAAGAAATTAAAAAATAAACCACGAGAATGTAAATATGGACAAACCATGCCACAATTCCAGGGACTGGTTCTTTTTTAAAATTTTTTATTTTTTAGGAGGGTGGTGGTTGGCAAACAAAATACATCTTTGTAATAAAGGCTGTAGCTGCGACACAAACTTACAAAAGTGGAATTGCTCTGTGATTCCTTATCAAACATGGCCTAAGCCTTGTTTTAAACTCTGTCCACTAACACATAATCAGCATGTTTTTAATCTCATGCAAGAACTAACTGCACTCAGGGGAACATAGCCTCTTGTGTTAAAGGCTGCACTTTGCCACAGAAGTGAGGAGGTAGGTCACGGATGTTAAAGCAGTAAAATAGCAAACTATTTACATGATCAAGGAATGACTGCAAATATCAAAGGTATGAAGAAATTTTTGATAAGAAAAACAAAGTTATCACATGTTAACAGAACTGAAGTATCACAGCATCTTAAGGTAAAGTCAAAATGAATACTTATAGCACTCAGTATCTCCAACTTATTTTTAAAAACTAACAAGTATGTCCTTGAGATATTCAATAAAAATTAGAAGTTATTAGCCCAGAGTTCCAAAACAAGAAGCAAAAGCTCGACTGACTAAACATTGCTCGCTTAAATCCTCTCCCGAAAGGACAGAACTGAGTCCTGCTTAGAAAAGCAGAGATATTAAGTCCCCATGAATTAAATGCAACAAATCGCCAACACAAACACAAAAGAAACTCTGTCAAGATGATAAAGATTTGTGCCAGATTATCTATGTGTCTTATAAAAGCATTTAAAAGTTACTCACCAGATACTGCAGCTGAAAAATGTTTTTTAAAAAGCAGTAATTTCTCTTTGCTATGAGCAATATGATTGGAGGGTCTGATTAGTGACACCCTACAGCTTTTCTAGCACTTGTTTTGTAACTTTTAAGAGATTTAGGTTTTATAAAATCAAGAAATGCAGACCTTTATGATTTGACAGTGTTCCTTTTACATATAAAAAAGAGCATACTTTCAAGAGCCATTTTACTTCTTTTCATTGTTCATATTTTAACCAACTATAATTGTAGGTGCACTTTATACTTACCATCATTCATCATTCCTTTTGATTCTTTAAATGCTAAGAATTAGTAACAAGCCAAGCAGGCAGTTAGTAAGATTCCACAATTAGAAATCATTTCTAAATAAATAAATATGCAGTAATATCATGCTAACTATTCCACAGCTATAGTCAAATTAATTTTAACTCTATTACTTTATTACAAAAAAACCTTTCTGTGGATCATACCCACAGACCCCACAAAGGAAACAAGGTCAGTTGAGAACCCAGATCTAGACATAGGGAGAAAGAAAGTGAGATGCTTGGGTCTCATTCCATGGTGACAGCCTGAATCTGAAATTTATAAATCAGAAACTGAAATTAATTGAGATTCTTCTCTATTGGGGGTGTTACACTTCATCTTGCCTAATATAAGGCCAAGGTCCCCTTGCCCAAATGTCATTGGGCCAGAGCAAGCAACTACTGGAGAGATAGTGAACAGGGCATTTTTCTCAGAGGTAAGAACATTACAATAGCAATACTCTGAATAATCAAGAAAAGAGGGGTCAAGGCAAAAAAAAAAAAACCCCAAAAAACAAAAAACAAACTAGATTTTTCCCAAGGCAAAGATAGAGCATTCTAACTGCTTTGGGAGGCTATTCAAATTATGATCAGGTAATGGATCAAGAAGAATATACAAGTTTATAATAACCACATACCATTAAGGGGCTCCTCTACAGCTTTCTGGAAAATATTTAAAATATATTTATGTAAAAATGGAATTTCATGTCCTTTTATACTAAAATTTATATATTCTAATATTTAAACTATATAGTTAAGAGTGAATCTTACAGTCTAAAAACAAAATAAGGTAATAAAGGTTAGAAAAACAAAGCTTGCCAAGCTTACCTAACAGTTTAATAATAACTGTATTAACCTTAATATTTTTTCTATGCAGAATTTCCCACCCACTCTGCCTCTTTTAGTTCAAGAAATTCTAACTTCTCAAAAAGTGCAAACATAAATAGCAATACAGTAATAAATAAAAGAGTTAAACAAGAGATGAGACCAAAGCAGAATCATTTCAAATCATGCAAACTGAATTCAGTAACAAGTAAAGAAAATGTGGTAAGATGTAAGGGTCCAATGGTTGGATTATCTCCAACAGAGGCACTTTAAACACTGCTGGCTGTTGGTGACCAATGTAGCACCCAACTTTTTAGTATAAACACTTGTGGTAAGATTCACCCCTAGGCCCCCTTGCCTCTCAGGCATTTCTTCTGAGGCTCTTCAGGCCTAAGGAGTATATGTAATCTCCACTTCCTGCCACAGACAGGAGTCTCGATTTTGGCCTTCCAGGTGGAGCTACCATTATTCCTTTCTAGGAAGGTGACCTCTCCAGACCTTCTTTCAAGAAAATAGTCCTTGGGCCTGTCCCATGACCAATCTCTACACGGGTTTTTTTTCACGTGCTCATTTATCCGTTTCAGTTTATCTCTTAAATTTGCTCCTTTTCTCGAAATTTTCTTAGATAGCTTATTAAGGTATCCAAGACACAGTGAAAACTACAGTACAGTATGGAGGAAGAAAAATACTTATAAAATGAGGGAAGAAGGGAAATATATTCTAATTCAGAACAGATATGTTCCAGCAATATCTACATTTATTTTATAGATTATTTTTAATGAAATCAATTTCACACGAATCCCTCTCCCTCATTTTAAAGCCTGAAATATCACTTTGTATGTGCACATCAAATGGAGCCAACAGGTGAGGCAGCTTCCTTCAGCAGAGATAATAACCATTATTCTTACACATGACCTTTCCAGTTCTGAGAAAGCGAGAAGTCACTTGAGAAGTCAGCACAGTCTTAAGGAATCACTGATTCTATTCTAGTGCAACTAAAATGACCAAACAGATTTTAAAACAGAGTTGGATCTATTCATGTAAAGTCATGAAATGACTTCCATATTCTCTTAATCTGATGTCATACCACTAAACAGAGAGCAAAAGGCTTCAATATCTCAATTACCATTCCTCAGTCAAAACCATCAAGTGGTCATTCCCAATTCATTTCAGAAAGTTTAACTTACCCTAGGAGGTTGTGTAGTCTTCTGATTGGAAGCTGATATAAATAAAAATTGAGAAAACGAACTGAATAAATGAAACAAATAAAGGCAATATAATGTTTCATTTCAATGACTATATAATGATTAATTACAAATGATTATATACATTGATAGAATAAAATGATTAAATGATTCATCTACATCAAATAAAACATCTACATTCTCTCATTTGTACATGCTATTATTTCCCCCAAATCAGCTATTTGTTATACTTCTTGCTGAAAAATGCTATCATCTGTTCACTCCCACTGTGAACTCTACACCCCCCTGACTCAGCCCAGCCAGAAACTGGACAGAATGTGGCAATGACCAATCTCCACCCCCCTACTCCACTGCCTGTCCTTAGCTCACTGTTCTTGTTCCTTGTGGCCCAGTCTTTTCTTCTGCTTCCATCTTTCCCGTTTTCAAAGCTCCAAATAGCTAACAAACTAAAGAAAATATTCAGATCCTTCCGAGTTCAATGAATTATTCTAAGCAGCTAGTTTTAGCCACAATCAACTTCTTCTCTATGTATTCCTTCTCAGCTTTCCAAGTCACCCTTGGCACTGCTTCTGAACGGACTGGTTAATGGAGATGTAGGAATATAGGGCATGAAGAAAGTAAGTGACAAAGGGAAAAAATATTACTCTGGCCACATAGGAAAAAATAGAGAACTTCCTTACAAAGCAAAGTGAGAAGGTCCCAGAGCAGCTCAAGCCAGTCCTAAATACAGAATGAGTCCTACATATATAAAAACATCAACCAGCAACATCCTGTGAGCCAGTTGGTAGGACAGTGATGTTACAGGACAGTCAATTACACTGTCCTGGGGGTTGGATGGAAGCCTGGATTTGATTGTGAGCAGACTCAGGCAAGCCCCAGGGACTGCTCTAGGGTTCTGTGTGCTCTACTTCCTGCCACTCCTCCTCCATGCCCACCCCTACAAAGCTTCCAAAGCCGATGGGCAATGGGAGTGAGACCCTACCCAAGGGCAGCCAACGTACACACTAGCCAGAATGTGAGAGGCTCTCTCAAACAGAGACCACAGCGACGGACTAGCCTGAAAAGTTTCTCTCTCCCACTGGAGTGTGAGGAGGAGGAACAGAAAGAGACCAGAAAGTTGGTGATGGAAAGGAAGGTGACACGGAGACAGCAAGTCAGGAGAGAAGCTCAAGGCTTAAAGACAAAGGTAAGAGAAACTATCAGTGAGATGACAAATATAAAATACAAGATAAGGCCATAAAGAGGAGGATAAGCTTGTAGGGAAAGAACCAGAGAAGAACTCAATAGTATAACTGGCAGATGGGCATTGACAAACTCCTATTAGAGGGCAACATGGTGGCTCAGTTCTTAGAAATGCATCAGATACTTCCAATTCCTAAACTGCTTACTGTTCCAGTCCCTATGAGGCCTGGTTGTGTCCCAGCTCTCGGGAGATTCCCTTCTCTGTTAGTATCATGTGTGGCTTTAAAGTAAAGCTCCCTTGCTAGAGGCACTTGGGGAGTGATACAGTCCTGGCAGCCAAACAAGGAAACCACTTTTTTAAAGTAGTATGGAGTGGGGTGCCTTGCTGGCTCAGTCAGTAGAGAGTGTGACTCTTGATCTTAGTGTTGTGAGTTCGAGCCCCATGATGGGTGTAGAGATTACTTAAAAAACAGATAAAATCTTAAAAAAAAATAGTAGTATGGAGTGAAATGGGTTGGGAATATGGGTGAGTCACACTTAGCAGCCTCCCAAAGAAGCCAAGCAGAATTACAGAACTTCATTAGGGATCATCATGGTAGTTACATGTATATACAACTTACTTCAACTAAACCATGCCCTCTATGTTCTATCAAGGAAAAGAAAACAGCTGTGAAAATTTCTGACTGGTGGTGTGAAGGGTCAGAGGTAAGATTTTAGACCTACATTTTTGAGATCATAAATTTATTAGAATTATTATTAAGAACTTCCAAGTAACTCCTTTTCTGTTCTAGTAATGTATAAAGAATAGTTTCTGAGTTCCAATTCTCAGGTCCAAGGAACATCACATTTTGGCTAGACCATTCTGAAAAAGAGCTCTATAAAGAACACTGATTCAGAGGGATAAAAGTCAGCTGTGCTCCCTCTAATAGTATAAAACCCAAAAATGCAGAAGTTAATTTCACTTGAGCTAATCTTCTTCCAGAGGCATATGATCATCGTGACAAAATTACTATGGTTTATCTGTTACTATAATGGACCTAAGGCACTGACAGCTACACATATGTATGTAGTTAAACATATATATACAAATATATATGTTAACTATATAGTTTATATATATTTATAAATATATAACACACTTTATATAATATATATTTATATGATATATTGTTAACTATAAATATACTTACTATATATAAAATTATAATATATAAAATATATTTATTGTTTATTTTTTAAACCACAAGCCTTAAGGGTTCCATATAAGCTCCCTTGCAAGGTTTCTTCTTGATTTATTCTTCTCTCCCTGAAACATGTGACCACACAGTATAAATGTGTTTCTAGGTTTTAAATTTTCAGGAATAATTTTCCTACTGATATCAGACTCACCTCTCCTTAACAATGGGCTATAAAATATCGCTGTATTATATATATATATATTCCATGTCATTCTAAAACAACTAGGATGTTGTGATAAATATGGTTTCTGTGTACCAGTAGGTTGATTTGTAACAAAACACGTTTATATGCACTTATATTGAACTAAGTGGTAATGACTTTAACAAAAAATGAACAAGTACTGACTCTTATAAAATATAATGGATATTTAATGCCGCATACAAACAACAAGCCTAACTCTAGTGAGTTTAGTTAGTTCTATTTAATTTTCTGTATGATCTCACATTGTTATTGTTTCTAGCCCCAATTTCATTTTGCAAAACTTAAATGCTTCCAGTAAAAAAATGAAATCCAACAGGGTTTAAAAAGATCATAGGAAATGAAATTTAAAAATCTTACTTCTAGAGTAACAATTAAGGCTACAAATTTAAGCTTGGAAATAAAAACAACAAAAGTTAAAATTCTCATAGGGCCATTAACTTACTCTTAAAGAGTTAGCTTGGATTTTAACAACAAAAACAACAACAAACTGAGGATTTTATTGCATTTTAGTCAAGACACATTCATTAAGCTTTTCCAAAACAGAGCATCAGCAATGAGTAAGATTTATTTTGGAAACATTTACAATTTTTACCTCCTGATAAATGTTAAAATTTGCAACCTTAATGTTACGTATACTCACATTTACACATTATTATTTTAAGAAAAACACATCAATTTTCCTATTCTACCACATTATCTAAAGAGCAACTTTCCTGTACCTTTTCTCTTCTTGCCCTTCAACTGACCGAAGGTGTGCCTCTGAATTCTGGCATCAGACAAGGTTTGGAAAGTTAATTTAGAATGTTCTCAAAATGTCAATAAAATTGGACTAAATTCTTAACTTACATGTGACATATTTATATGCTAAACTATGATAAACAAAAAATAATTTGGGGAACTTTTCAAGATTTCACTTTCAGTTTGATTTTTAAGGTGAAAACAGTATGTGTGTGGTTTCACAAGCTTCTTTGGGATGTAAATGATGGAGAAGGGAGAGAGCAGGGCCCAGGAGGTGGCAGTTAGCTGATGCCTATTTCCACCTGAGTCAGCATTACAGACCTGTTGGCAACTCTACTGAGCATCATTCTTTAGACATGGAAGGCTTGGGGGAGCATGGGAATAAAAGGGAGGACGATCTAGATAATGAGGAATAAAAAGAACAAAGAGCTTACTATCAGTCAAAGACACATAATACTGCATCATGTTGCAGGTCACATACTGTTCTCAAGCATTCATAAGAAGCAACATACCAGCAGTGTCATCTTCAAGAACCATACAAATGGTGATTCGAATACTCAACAAAAATAGAATATGTATCAATATTCATAATGTGATGCTTCTGACAGCTACTAAATGAACACCATTCTGCTGAGAAGTCTTCATTGTGTTTTATGGACTTACGAGTCACAAACTAAGAAAATTTCATTGAGGAAACGACTCTGACTTAAGAACACATGAACCAAAGATAGGGAGATTTTAGTTAAGTATTTTAATTGTTTATCTAATAAGCATTAACCAAACAGAGACAAAGAATATATAACAAAATTGAACTCATTCATCAGTCAGCAAAAACTGAAGTTCAGAAACAAAGGTAAAATTTCTTTGAGAGTATTATGTCATATGTAAAATTATTTTACTATAAAAATTCAAGGTTTATATTAATTTTTGGAAACACAGTAAAGTTCCCCTAAAGCAGAAACACTGATTTTTTTACTCCATTATTTGGCAACTTTTGATTATTTTGACAAATGCTTAAGAGTTTGCTTTGCTTTACTTCTTAAATAAAAAACAAATTTTTTTAAAGGCATACCAATGCAAACCAATTAACAGGGAACATTTTTAGCTTAAATAAGACAACATACTAGCTAAAAGCACATGCCGATATATATAAAAAATAAGAACTTATATAGAAATCTGTTATTTGAAAATTGGCAGATTAAATATGAAGTTCAGAAATAATTAGCAAACTCCCCACTTACTAACAATTGATTTTAAAAGTAGTAAAAACAACATGGATGGATCTAGGGGGTATAATGCTAAGTGAAGTCAGTCTGAGAAAGATGAATACCATATGATTTCACTCATATGCAGAATTTAAGAAACAAAACAAACAAAGGAAAAAAGAGACAAACAAAAAATAAGATTCTTAAATATAGAGAACAAACTGGTGGTTGCCAGGGGGGAGGTGGGGGGGATGGGTAAAACAGGTGATGGGGATGAAAGTTAAAGAGTACACTCATCATGATGAGCACTGAGTAATGTATAGAACTGTTGAATCACTATATTGTACACCTGAAACTAACATAACACTGTATGTTAATTATACTGGATTTTAAAAACAAATAAACTTTTAAAAAGGTAGTAAGGCCTTAAATTTTAAAACTCCATGTTTTTATATTAGTTTTAACTAAAAATATTTTAAAGTCAAGTAAAGTCAGAGGACACTGTTCTTTAACAAAAGTGACAGATTTTGAATTTCAACATGTCTACTTTGGGGTGTCAAGGTCTACAAACAGTCTGCAAGAACAGGAAGTAACAAATAGGGTCTCTGTAAAAGAGTTAGCTCTCACAGAACCAATTAAAATCCTTTCCTATTAAAATGAATTTTAATGGGCCAATTAAAAATCCTTTCCTATTAAAATGAATCCTCAACATTCTCTCCTTTTAGGTGGTATAAAAAAGTCTATACATTCTAAAACAAAGCCATTTTCTTTTAAACTAGTCTATAATCTAAACTTTTCATTAATTCATATTACTTCTACTCTTCTTTCATCACCCCCAAATCATTCCAATTTTATTATTTTATTATTTAAAAAATATAGCTGCATTCACGGTATTTTCTCATTTCTGGAAACACTGATAAATTTCTTTAGTCATAAATTATTAGAGCCAATCAAAGGAATTTTCCAAATTATATATTTGAAGTTCTTGGCATAGGCTAACAAAAATAAGATCGACTTACCAACAAGTTTCATATAAACTAATCCAAGTAATTCTGCTAGAGCTATAATACCCAAACCTGAAATCAGAAGAGGGCCATGCACTGGGGTGCACTCTGTAAAAACAAGTGAAATTTTATGTTAGAAATCTACATGAAATAAGTGAACTTTTTAAAAGACCCAACAGTAATATATCAAGTTTTAAGGACAGTAATTCTTTTTCTAATTACTAAAAACAAAAATTATCTCTATATATTCAACATTATTCACTCAGCCAGTGAAAAGGACTCCAAATTATTAAAAGAAAATGTTTGCATAACATGTACCTTATCGCATCAAGATTAATGTAAAACAGTGCATAAAGCCTAATGTTCCAACCAATTGGAGCCTGGTTATTTAAAAAAATTCTCCCGTAAATGTAGGCGTAGCAGTTTGGCTGCTAGGATAATCAGCCCACAGGCCATATACAGCCAATATTCTCATGGCAATACGGAAAACACTATTCTCAGTGGGGGGAAAAAAATGAAAGTTAAAAAAAGAAAAGCTCACAAAGCTCATAACATCCAATGCTGGCAAAGATGTGGAGCAACAGGAACTCTCATTCACTGCTGGTGGGAATGCAAAATGGCACAGCCACTTTGGAAGACAGTTTGGCAATTTGTTACAAAACTAAATATATTCTTAACAATCCATCAATCACACTCCTTGGTATTTACTTAAATGAAGCTGAAAACGTAGGTCCACACAAAAACATGCACATGATGTTTATAGTAGCTTTATTCTTACTCATCAAAAACTGAAAGTGGCCAGGATGTCCTTCAGTAGGTGAGTGGATAAAGAAGAGGAAGAAGAGCGCTGTCCACGAGAAATTCCTAGTAAGACAAATTGGGACTAGAGAAGAACATGGCCCTTACCTGAGACACAGAGGCTTAGTCCAACCACAGAAAGCACATAGCCCAGTACCTGAAGGATTAATATGGCAATGGTGAAAGGAGAAATCCAACCACCTAGAGGAAGAAAGAGTGGGTTGAGAGCACTTAAGAAGCAATCACACCTCCTTGTAATCTGTGCAACCAAAAATAACATCCAGTGACCAAAGACTGACTCTGGATTTCCTTGTCAGATGGTAGCTTCTTTCCCAATGACCTAAACTTCGCTTTTTCACACAAGTAGTTAGTTCCAGATTCATACATTCAGCAGTCTTTTTTTTTTTTTTTTTCCCCACAGTGAGCTCAGCTGGACTGGTGCTTTTTACCCAAAAACTTAGAACAGTGCTGCTTTTACCACACTTGTGCATTTTACAGTAGGAATGGCTATTATGCATGACTTTGCCACATGCACATAAAATTGCTATGGTGGAGACAACCATTATGCAAACACGCCCTTGTAAACATCACAACCCTCTGTCTTGAGTGTCTAGATCTGTGATTTTATAACAAATTAATAACTTTTAATCAAGCCAGGGATAAGCTCTAAGACCAAAACTTAAATGTACAAATAGAAAAAAACAGACTGTAATAATGATAATAATGACAAAAATATGTTAGTGACTGACTCCAAAAAAGCAGTGAAGATTATATCAACTATAGGTTGGATATCTGTATCATCTTTTAAAACTACAATGTTAAGATTTGCCAATAACTAAAAAAGATATATAATTCCACTATTTTTAATTGATAACCCTATTTTGTAGAACCTTTTTTAAGAGAGTCTTAGCAAAAAAGAAAAAATATGTTTAATATCTACTTATAACTTGAAAAAACTGTAATAACATGAAAATAACATAATTTGAAAAATCCACTGCCTAGCATCAAAGATATATGAAAATTACTTTTTAGAAAATAACAGAATGCCTTGAAAACCTAAGCTAACCTTAAATTTAATCCATACAGGGAAAATGTCACAAAGAATAGCTTGGAAAATCTTTTAATAAGCCAACTTTTATTGAGTTGTAAAAAAAAAAAATACAAGAAATATGTTAACCAAAAATGTTGTTCTTAAAATGAAAAAGGCAGACAAAATCATGTTATAACAAATACTCACCTATTACAAACATACAGTACTGAAGTAATATTAGTATCACAGTAGGAATTACAATTAAACCAAGTCCACAAGAATTCTTTGTTGAATATTCACCTGTTAATAAAAATAATATTTAAAATATTATCCTACATACTTCCTACTCTATAGGAAGTTAAAGTACTTAAACTTACTAAATGTATCAGTCTCAATACTCCTCTTACAAACTAAAAAGGCTTAAAAATATATTTCTCCCAGAACTTCACATAAAATGACTATTTTCAGATTAAGACCAAACTTATGACATATAAACGCCACCACCTAAGTCTCAGCATGTCAAAACCTTAAACTGGCTTTGCCTCTTCAACTACCTTACAGAATTCCAGGGAGAAGCTCTTGAGTCACCTCTTGCCATTCCCTTCACTGGCTATGTTCAATCTGTCCCAAAGTCAAAACAGTTGTTCTCGCAAGTAATCTTCTGAATTCATCTCCTTCCTCCCTGTGTTCTAACTCCAGAGGCAAAAAGAGCTGCCAAATTTATGTTCCTAAACATTATATCTATACTGTATTCAGCTCAAAAACAACAATGGCTCTCTCCAGTCCACACTGTGGGTCCCAGGCTACCTTTGCTGTCTTTCCATGGGCCGTATACCCTTTCTTTCCACCCCCATTCCCATCCTCCGAACACAAGTGGTTTCAGACAGACTTCCCACATTCATTCCCACTTCCATGTCTTGGCAAATAAAGTTTGCCTCTGCAGTGGGTTGAATGATGGCCCTAAAGATATGCCCACCTCCAAATCCTTGGAATCCGTGAATATTAACTTCGGTGGCAAGAGTATTATGTTATATAGCAAAGGATAATTAAGTTAAGGATCCTGAAAGGAAGAGTTTATCCTGGATTATCTAGGTATCCAGGTGGGCCCTAAATGCAATGACAAGTGTCTTTGTAAGACAGAGGCAGAGGGAGATTTGACAAAGACACCATGGAGGCAGAAACTGGAATTATGGTGCCACAAGCCAAGGAGCTACAGACTGCCAGCAAATACCAGAAGCTACAAGAGACAAAGAATGGATTCTCCCCTAGAGCCTCAGGGGGGATTACGGGACTCATGACATCTTTATCTCAGATTTATGTACTCCAGAACTGTGAGAAAATTTCTACTGTTTTAGGACACCCACTTTGCGGGTATGTGTTACAGCAGCCCTAGGAAACTAACACCCGCCCCGCCCCACCCCACCAGCCCCTCATCTCCATCAATCCTATCTCCCTCATATAACAGTGTTTCTTACCTGGGACAAAAAGAATGGCTCCAACAATGACAACTATAGTGAGCACTAGTCCACCAACAAATAAAAGAATGGTTTTCTCCTTCACAAGACTGGATTTATATTTAATTGCTTAAAAAGAAAACAAAGAATTACATGAACCCAATCACAAAAAGTAAAGCCACTTCTGTAACTTATAAAGTGCAAGGACAAACTGATAACTTACTGTAATTGAATCATCTTTGAGGAACACCTCCTTCATATCATGTCAAGCCACCTCAAATCTTTTTGATATTAAGTCAATGTCTAAATATTGTCATGGTAGTATACATATTGGATACTGAATTTGAAGGTGACACTTTATTCTCCCACGCTTTAAGGAATGAAGTTATATATATCAGGCTTTCTCAGTTAAGGTATTATTAACATTTTGGACCAGATAACTCCTTGGGTGCGGGGGCAGGGGGCTGTTCTGTGCACTATATGTTGTTTAGTAGTATCCCTGGCTTCTACTCACTATATGCTGTTAACAGCCCCCCCAGCGGTGCCAATCAAAAATGTCTCCAGACATTGTTAAATGTTCCCTGAGAAGGAAAACCGCCTGAGGTTTACAACTGATATACATAACACTGACGAGAAATAACTGGCTATTTTAGTAATATTGAGAAAAAGAGAACTTTATTCCATCTTATATAAAATTAGGAAAGCATATGAAATTTGAGATAATTTTGTTTTGAAAAAGCAGAGTAAACACTGGACAAATCATACCCTCTTGATATCCTGATGGTAAAAAATGCTTAAATTGTTCAATTAAAATAATTTCTTGAAAATAAACCATAAATACTCAATAGCACTCATCATACATGTTACTAGTTTTGATGCCAGCTCTACTGTCAAGTATCTAATACCTTCCCTGAAAGAATATAATAGATAAACTTAAAAATATTATAGTTGCCCCTTAAACAACACAGGGGTTAGGAGCACTGACCTCTCTCACCCTGTGCAGCCAAATCTGAGTATAACTTGACTCCCCCAAAACTTCCCTACTAATAGCTACTACTGACCATAAGCCTTACCAATAACATAAAGTCAAGTAACACATATTTTGTATGTTTTATGTATTATATACTGTATTCTCATAATAAAGTAAGCCAGAGAGAGGAAACTGTTAAGAAAATCATAAAGAAGGGAAAACACATTTATAGTATGTATTGAACCATAAAAAAAATCCACATATAAGCAGACCCACAGAGTTCAAACCCATATTGTTCAAGGGTTAACTGTATTTCTTTTCCTATATATTCACCTTTTGGGTTTTGTTTTGGTTAATATTAAAATTAATTTTTCACCAAGAAAGTTGATAAAAGTAACCTAAAAGCAGACTGATACTGACTGAAATTCTGCTGTTTCATACACACGATATTTTCCACACCATTAATCAATGAGTGTCCTCAGGGAAAGATTTTTAAATGTGTTTAGCATTTAACTTGCCTCCGTTAAAATGACAAACAGGTCAAATACACTAAAAAGAATAAATAAACCCCTAAATGACCATAACAAAATCTACATATAAGTTATTAAAACCTAGGGTTCCATTATAATCTATAGTTAAGATCTTAAGGTATGATGCAGGCACCTGAAGATTTTTTTTACAACTCTACCTATTTTAGGTTGCAATCATCCTTTAGATTGTTAACCTCAACTTTATTCTCTTTAGGGGCAGATGGAGGGCTAAGCAATAATCCGTCCTGAAGATGAATAACCGAATCCACATTCATCAGAAAAGAGTGAGAATCAATCTGGCAAGTTCCCCAAGCTTTCATTTGATCCATCCAGCCTTGAAACTTATATGACTATGACTCAGTCATGTTCCTGACTTATTATAAGGGACAGATTTTCACATCTTTCCTATTCTCCAAGTTCAAACACTGTCTAGGATGAAATTCCAAGTATAGGTCACAAAAGGCACAAATACGGTTAAAAAAAAAACAACTTTGTCTAGACATATGTCAGGTTTTCCATTTAGACCTATGCATACTGTTATCTAAACAGAATTTGAAAGTTCTGCAAAGGGCTTATAAAATAGAAACTGTGTTTCAAATGTACTTCACAATCAAACATTTATGAGACTCTTCCAGGTTTAATTCAACACACAGAAGAGCTACTAAGATCAAGCGGCAAGAATTCACCTTAAAGTACAGATGTTCATGCAAAAAGGCAGACATATCATTCTTAACAAAAATCAGAGTGTGAACTTCATATAAAATTCCACCTTTTCAGACTCAGAAGAGCTCTAGGAGAAAAATAATGCCAACGACAGTCACAAAAATAAACCATCAGCAAATGCTACTATTGAGAGTGTTTTACCACAGAATGGCCTTTTCAAACCTTGGCATATAAATACACTCCATGTTGGAGGTAACTGTTGTTCCTGTTAATTGGTTCAACTGCTACTTCTTCTCAAGGCTACTACCTTCCTCTTCCTTAAATTAAGCAGCCATTTCTACCAAATATATTAGTGGGGTCTAACTTATGCAACCATAGGCAATGAAAGAGTATCTCCAAGTTTTCTTTAGTGAACCTTTAAAAAGTTTCTTCTGACTCATTTTCTTGCTTACGATGTAGGTCCCACACTAAGTGTGGAGAAAATATCTTGTTGCTAACACAGCTGCCAATTTTTTCAGTATAGCTAAAGGGTCAGGAATCTGATATAGACGCCAGAGAACTCAATAATCTCAAGGATCTGTTATTGGTGATTCTTTCTAGTCCTTTATTAAGTAGACTTACTCTTATTTATCAAACCTATCAAAACTTTACATGTAACAAAATAAATTCAAGTAATTTCCTAAACACTTAGCATTAAGATAAAGATAATATAACACCTTAACTGCAGGCTCTTATCAAACTCCCCTGCTGTTTGGCAAGACAATCTACATACGCTTTGGGGTGCCTGGATGCCTCAGTTGGTTAAGCGTCGACTCCTGATTTCGGATCAGGTCATGATCTCAGGGTAGTGAGATCAAGCCTGGCGTTGGGCTCCATGCTCAGTGTGGAGTCTGCTTAAGATTCTCTCCCTCTCCTTCTGCCTCCACCCCCTGCTCATGCGCACTCACTCTAAAAAGAATTTTTAAATAAACAAATAATAAAAATAAATAAATAAAAATCAGCATGCTTTAAAGGATTTTCCTCAGCAAAAAAAAGAAAAAAATTATCTTCAGTCAAAAGTACTGAAATCAATACGCAAATAAAGTATGAGCAATAACACTATTTATACTTTTTTAAGACTTCATTTTTTTAGTGTAGTTTTAGTTTTATGACAAAACTGAGAGAGGTACAGAGAATTCCGTTATATCCCCTATCCCAACACATACATAGCTTTCCCCACTATTACCATCACTCACCAGAACAGTACATTTTCTACCAAGGATGAGCCTACACTGACACATCATAATCATCCAAAATCCCTAGTTTACCTTAGGGTTCACCCTTCATGTTGTATGCTTTGGATAAATGTATGACGCCCATCCATCATTATGATACCATAGAGTGTATTTTCACTGCCCTAAAAATCCTCTGTGCTCTGCCTGTTCATCTCTCCTCCACCCTTACCCCTGACAATCACTGATATTTTTTTGTCCCCACAGGTCTGCCTTCTCCAGAATGTCATATAGTTGGAATCATACAGTATGTAGCCCTTTCAGATTGACTTCTTTTAATATGTATTTAAGTCTCCTCCATGCCTTTTCATGGCTTGACAGTTCATTTATTTTTATTGCTGAATAATAGTCCATTGCATGGATGTACCACAATTTATCCATTCACCTACTGTAGAACAGTAAAGCTGCTATAAATATCTGTGTGCAGGTTTCTGTATGGACATAAGTTTTCAACTCCATTTGGATAAATACCAAGGAGCACAATGCCAGGTCATATGGAAAGAATGTATTTAGTTTTGTAAGAAATTGCCAAACTGTCTTCCAAAGTAGCTGTACCATTTTGCATTCCCACCAGCAATGTATGAGAGTTCCTGTGGCTCTACATCCTCATCAGCATTTGGTGTTGTCAGTATGTATATTTTTAACACAAACTTATAACCCTAATGCTGCCACAAAGGAATACCATATAGATGGGAAACGATCACATTTTTGACAATAAATTAGAAATTCTAAAATTTTCCCCTCTTACACCTTCTATAAAATAATTAAATATAGCAAGCTACTTCTCAGAAATGAGCTAGGCTGATTAATTCATTTGTTTTAGAAATATTTACTATGCACCTACAATGTAGCAGGCCCTTTTATTAGCCCAAATCACACAAATCAAGGTACAGGTAGAAGTTTATGCAACAATAATTGATTATGCACCTACTATGTGATAATCACTACTCTAAATGCTGGCATTGAACAAAATAGCCAAATCCAAATACTCCTGCCTCAAGGCCCTTATATTCGTGTGTGTGTGTGTGTGTGTGTGTGTGTGTGTGTGTGTGTGTGTGTGTGTTGGGAAGGAGCAGGAGTAAGGATGGAATGTTACTCCCTGATCTTCTTTCCCAATTCAATAAATAAAAGGTATGGGTCTAATTTAGCCTAAAAAAGCCCCTTCATGTATTTCATCTTCAAATTCATGTGAATAAAACATCACATGTCCCTCTAGCCACCTGAAGAAACAGCTAATGTTATAGATACTCCGTTTAAGTTTTGTCTCCCTGTAACTGATATAAAGGACATACAAGACAAAATGTAGGTTGTAGTTGATAAATTTCTAGTGAAATTACCAGATCAACCTGGAGATCAAATAAAATCTACCACCTTAGTTTCCATGATACTCCCAGGATGGGATTCAATATGCCCATATAGGTCTACACAGACCTCAGTCTATCCAACCAACAAAACCCAAAAATCTATGAATTCAATATCTGCTTAAAGACATGACATTTAGATGATCCCTTACTGACTGATTAGTGTGTTGGTGGTCAGATAAGAAGGCTAACCAGTGAAGGGTAATGCATACTAGATTAAGAATAAATCATAAAGGGAGATGTGTTTGATTTCATTATTATAGTGCGATTTTCTGACAACTCTAGGAGAGTAGCTGTAGGATCTCTTTGGTATCTGTTAAATTGCTAATCAATA